CATAATTATTCTTATACAATTTTGTGTTAGAAGCTGTGATATAAACCCCCAAATATTTTACCTTTTTAACCATTTCGAAACCTGTACATAAGGCTAACTTATCTTTATCCTCCTTAAACATATTTTTTGATAATATCTTAGTCTTATTAGAATTTACCTTAAAACCAGAAACTTTCCCATATTGTGCAATAATTTCAACCGCCTCAATTGACGAATCTATCGGCTGAGTTAATGTTAACACTAAGTCATCTGCAAAAGCTCTTAATCTATAATCTATCTTATTAACTTTAATTCCTCTTATTACAGAGGATTCACGAATTTTAATCAACAAAATCTCCATTGTTAACACAAATAACAATGGAGATAAAGGACAACCTTGTCTAGTTCCTTTTTCAATTTTAAAAGTTTCTGTTACCCCCCCCCCATTAACTATAATCTGTGCTGTCTGCTGTTGATAAATAGCCTTAAGAGCAGAAAAAAAAATTTCCCCAAAATTCATTCTATCTATAACCTGAAACAAAAAACCCCAGTCCAATTGATCAAATGCTTTTTCAGCATCTAAAAATATAAAAGCAGCCGGAATTTGATTATTCACTTCCAAATATTCCAATAAATCAATAATCTGTCTTACATTATACTTCATGTATCTTTCAGTTAAAAATCCAGATTGATCACTATGAATCATTTGACCCAACACTTGCATTAATCTATTTGCCAGTACTTTAGAAAAAATCTTATAATCTATATTCAATAAAGATATAGGTCTATAATTCTTAGGTAGCGTCAAATCCTGACCTTCCTTTGGTATTAAAACTATAAAAGCAGTCCTCCAAGTAGAAGGTACCTCCTTACCCAACAATATACTGTTAAACAGTTCCTGTAAGGGTTCTATCATTTCCTCAATTAATGTTTTGTAATAAACTGCTGTAAATCCATCTGTGCCTGGAGCTTTACCAACCTTTAATTGCTTAATTGCTCCCTTAATCTCCTCAGCTGAAATTAAACTATTCATTTTTTCCCTTTGATTGTCAGACAATCTCGGGAAATGTGCTTCCTGTAAATACTTATCTATTTCTCCTTTATGTATTTTTTCAGAAGCATACAGCTTAGAATAAAACTCCAAAATACTCTGCTTAATAAAATTTTGTTCAAATGTCACTTTACCATCATAATCTATTTTCTCTATAATTCTTGATTTCTGTTTTTTCTGTAATTGATAAGACAACCACCTACCTGGTTTATTTGCATTACGAAATGTATTATATTTCATATACCTTAAACTAGTCTCAGATTGTTGACCCCTGGTGACTGCCTGGATGAATCTCCCTGCACTTTTCTTGGCAAGGATTCGGGAGTGGTTTGCCATTGCCTGCTTTCTAGGGCTGAGTGAGAGAGACTGGTCCAAGGTCACCCAGCTGGCTTTGTGCCTAAGGCAGCATTAGAACTCAGGGCTTCTAGCTTGATTTCTTAAGCACTACACCAGATTGGCTTCTTCTTTTACAGTTACTCAGTCAAAGGCAGAGCGGCTAAAAGCAAGAGGAAAAAAAGAGTGCTATTTGGGATCTTGTCAAATAATGTATTTATTTAATAGTGTATTTCCGTTTTACGATTCTATTAACAATTCTATTTGAATTTTGGCTTGAGCCAAGTGACACATTTCAGGGTACCTAGGGCTCACATCTTTATAACCAATGGTATGTTTTGTTTTTGTCTCCTGTCTGTTTCTGTGTATTACACTGTGTATTACACTGAATAATCATTGATTTGTTTGATTTGAAACACCATAAATGTCAAAACTGACTCGCTCCTGGCTCGTGTTCTGCCATACAGAAACAGGAGGGCCGGTTGGTGACTTCCTAGGGTGAGGAATGCATCATGAGACCTTATTTACCAAGGTCAAGTTATGAGATCTGCTCAGATGGCACAGACCTGATTTCCCAAAATAAAAGAACTGAATTCAACTAGTGAACTATGAACTGTAGGTGGCCCAGAGGAGGGGGGGAGGGGGTTTTACCTATGTGGGTTTTTATGGGAAATTCCCAGAACTGATTTTGCTTCCGCTGTGCCTAGATGGATCTTTCAGTAAAGTTTTACTCTTGGTAGTTTTAAAGAGCTGGGAGTTCCTTTTGTTGAAATGTGCCAAATGGGACAGTTGACAATAAAACTAATAACATCACTCTAAAATAGAAATAAAATCTCATATTGGCAGAATAAAATAAGGTAAAAATAAATTTATTGACATAAAATTGCAAAAGAAGGAACTAAAATCCATGAGACACCTATAAAATTAGTCTTACAATCAGTAATCCGATTGTTGTAGATAATAATTTTGTTTGATTAGTGCACTTTGTGTGGCACTTGCTATTAAAAGTTTGATTTTGCTTGACAGCAAGGTTGATATTATACACATCTATGTTACATGCACTGATAGCCCTATAATTTTTAGATTGCCTGGGACAGGGATGTTCTGGATCAATTAACTCACTGTTCCCGTTGTTTAGTTTAAATGTTCCTCCAGAAAATCTGTGAATTTATTGCTGAGTAACTCAGTCCTTCTTTGATGGGTACAAGCCATCTTTTCTACATTTTTTCATCGGACCAGCTACAGACATCGTGACTAATATAACCAAAGCCTTCCCCTTTACACCACTCCTTTAGCCACATATTGAATTCTGCTATACGCTGGCCTTTTCCATTTTGTTCCTTATACACTGGTAAAACCTCTGAAAAAGTAGGCCTACAGCCTATCCTGCTAAGTTCCTGCCCCAAGCTCTGGAAACCATTTTGGGGACAGATCATTAGTGCCAAGATGTACAATAGCATCCACATCACACTCCTTTCTGGCATTCTTCACTATCTTAAAAATATGCTTCTTGTCCCTACTGGCAGTAGCATTAGATAAGTATAAAAAGTAGATAAGTAGATATATAAAAAGACAGAAACAGTACTAGGATTTGAAAAAAAAAAAAAAGCCTAGGATGCTGTCAATCTTACATTGAGTCTAATATTTGCTGAAGCCCTGCTAGAGTTTGTTGGGATTATGATTATTGTGTACATTTAAAAAGAAACAGAAAAAAAGAAAGAAAAAAAGGGAAAGAAAACAGAATATGTTGAATTATGGGAACCTACACACTCACTGATTGCAACTAAACATTAAAGAAACAAGCAGGATACATAAATGGGAAGGAGAGCTGTGACGGACATCTAAAACCTATGATTTATGGATTTAGCCGTGTAAGATGAGGTATCCTTAATATTGATACACTTGAACACATAACACTAAAGCCTATAAAGCTCCCACAGGACACCTCATTTTTTAGATTGACTGACTGACCCATTCTTTCCATTTCCAAGGCTACAAAACCGCAAGAAACTCAGTGTTGCATCCAAGGAAGGTGTAGTAGCCAAAAAGCTAAGGAACCTCTGTTTTAAAGGCTTTCATGGACTACAGCTTAGCAAATTGGGATTTTTGCAAAGGTTTGCCTATGGAGGTCCCCTCTTTTAGGGGAGTGACAGGGAGTTGCCTTCATATAAACAGAAAGAGGGCAGAAGGGTCTCTCCAATCAAGGAAGCGTCTGAGAATGTACAGAGCAGAGCTGCGGTCCTGGCATTAAAAAAGCTGACTTGTCCTCCTTCGCAGTTGAGAGAGATGCGGATCCTCGTGGGCTTCTCAGTCAGGACCAGTTCAGAGGGTACTGACGAAGAGATGGCCATGTATTTCTTTTTCCATTTATAAACCTGCCAGTGTCTGGCCTGCTCATCAAGATCTGTTACGTTCACTGGCATGTTGGTAACCCCTACATGCCATCCTTTTGTATTCCTTACAGAAACTTCCCAGAAATGTCTCCCTGTTGAGAACATCTGACAGCCAAGGACATATGGATAACGTTCAAATCTCTTGCTGTTTGGGGAAGGATATATTTGTTTAGCTGGCTTAATTCCTCTGACGCTTTTTCCATCTTCGGAGATGTAAAGGCGGCCGGGATGGGCTGTGTATCGATCCAGAATTACATCCACTGCAAACGGGAAGGAAGGAAGAAGAACAAGAGCTTAGGCTGCAGGCCTGGTTTGTGTCTTGACCCCCAATGTATCAACCCTACGGCCTCCACTCTGAAAGGAGTTCAGCTTCCAGGATTGGAAGATTCACTGATTTTATAAACTGCCCGTTGCCTTGTCTTTCCAAGCCTTCATGGTGCTTCACCCCCTTCTAACATCCCTGCAGATCAATCTCTTTAACTTCCATCTTGCAGGTGGGAAGATTGGGATGGGGATGAAGAGTGGTTGGCTTTGCCTTCAGTGAGTTCCCGGGAGGGCCAAGATTGAACAGGGACTCTACCTGGAGCTTTAATCCAGAAGATCAGGCAGAGCAAGAGGCCGTCATGTTTCAGTTCTGAACTGGCAGAGTCAGAGGGATCCCCCCACAGGGAACTTGGGGCACATGATGGAATGTGAGGAAGCTCTGCCTTTTTTTCTATGAGCATCAGGATGTCACAGGGATGTACAAAAGGGGAGGCTTCTGCACAGGAAACCTCTGCTTTCATCAATTTGATGGCTCACAAGGTGGAGACATCCCTGGTGCTCGATGTCTCTGGAGATTCTCAGTCATCCAGGTCATGGTTGTCCCAAAGGTGCTTTTTTCAAAAGGTAACTGGATTTTCTTGTTTTTCTTTGAAGACATTTCGCTTCTCATCTAAAGAAGCTCCTTCAGCTCTGACTCTGACCCTCACCCCACCATCCAGTCAGAGCTGAAGAAGCTTCTTTAGATGAGAAGCGAAATGTCTTCAAAGAAAAACAAGAAAGTCCAGTTACCTCGTGAAAAAAGCACCCCTGGGACATCCCTGGTGCTCCAACTTTGCTATTTGCTGTGACCCAAAGGACTTAATTTCTCTGCTCCCAAAGACCTGGTCTCTCACCAATTTATAGTCAGGCAGTAAAATGAAGAGGATGTTATTAGCCTGGCAGGAATTCTATATTCCTTTCAGTACCAGCCCATATTTTCCCATTTATGCAAATATTTCATTCTACACTAAGACTGACATCAATTTTCTAGATTATATTTAGTGGATTTTCATAGTCTTTAAGGTATCTAATCCTATACTTTTCTTTGTCGCTCTTTATATGGAAAGGAATGCAACAGAATAGAATAGAATGGAATGGAATGGAATGGAATGGAATAGAATAGAATAGAATAGAATAGAATAGAATAGAATAGAATAGAATAGAATAGAATAGAATAGAATAGAATAGAATTCTTTATTGGCCAAGTGTGATCAGCCACGCAAGGAATGTCTTCGGTGGATAAGCTCACAGTGTACATATAAATAGCAAGTAACAGATCATAAATAATAAATCATTTAAGTTTACTGGATCATCATAGTCTTCAAGGTAGCTAATCTTATGCTTTTTTGTCACTCTATTGCACAGTATTTCTCTTAAAGCTACCAGCATCAGAGCTTAAAATAGCAAGCGATATATGAGATTCTTAATAACTCCTATTTACCTTCCTGGAGTTCAAGTCCACTTTCCAGAGTATCTGGGGAAGAAAAGGGAGGGATTCAGCATCTCATCACTGGAACTGGAGCAACAGAAGGGCCTCCCTACAGATACCCTGGTTTGCTTTGCAGGATCCCATCTGGGTCGGTCAACAGGACAAGAGGTTTTGTCTTCCGGGCCCTTGCTGGAGCCTATCTTCAGGGAATTTCTCTCTAGCAGAGTGTGTGTGCTGTTTTCTGTATGATATTTATAGTGTCTGTGTGTGGCTTTTTAGACAGACAGACACGAAGGTTGGCTCCAGGGAGGGACCGAAAGCCCGGAAGACAGAAACTCTCATCCCGGTGACCGACATAGAATAGAATAGGAATGGAATTGAATTGGAAGGGATCTTGGAGGTCTTCTAGTCTAGCCCCCTCCTCAAGCAGGAGAACCTATCATCTCAGACAAGTGACTGTCTAGCTTCTTTTTAAAAATCTCCAGTGATGGAGCGCCCACAATTTCTGGGGGCAAGCTATTCCACCGGTTAATTGTCCTCACTGTCAGGAAGTTTCTCCTTAATTCCAGGTTGCTTCTCTCTTTGATCAGTTTCCAACCGTTGTTTCTTGTCCTGCCCTCTGGTGCTTTGGAGAATAATGTGACCCCCTCTTCTTAGTGGCAGCCCCTCAAATACTAGAACACTGCTATCATATTTATCATATATTCACTTTCATTCTTGTTTGCTTTCCTTGGCCTCAAATCAGGAAATAAGGAATAAGGAAAGCTACAAGCCAGAATGTCATTGGTGGCTATATCGATTTTGTCAGATATAAATATATTCTGCTATATTTTCCATATACAGGTAGTTCTCAACATAACCATTAATTTAATGATTACTCAATGTTACAATGGCACTAAAAAAGTGACTTATGACCAGTTCTCATACTTACGATCGTTCCAGCATCCCCAGTCATATGATCAAAATCCCAACACTTGACATCCAGCATGTATTTATCACGGTTGCGGCATCCCATGGTTCTGGGATTGTCATCTGCAACTTTCCTGGGAAGCTTCTGACATGCAAAGTCAATGTGGGAAGCCAGATTTGCTTAACAACCACACGATTCACTTGCCTGCAGTGATTTTCTTAACAACGGTGGCAAAAAGGGTCATAACGTAGAGCACGACTCACTAAACAACTGAAATTGTGCTCATAAGTCAAGGACTATCTGTATATATTCCATTATATTTAGTGGAAGCTTATTCAACTTCCCCAGTGATCAGTGAATATGGATTTGGGAAATAAAGAATACAGGTAGCCCTTGACTTACGACCACAATTGAGCTCAGAAATTTATGTTGCTAAGTGAGAAATTTGTTAAGTCAATGTTGCCCCATTTTACAACTTTTCTTGCCACATTTGTTGTGAATCACTGCAGTTGTTAAATTAGTAACACAGTTGTGAAGTGAATCTGGTTTCCCCACTGACTTTGCTTGTCAGAATGTGACAAAAGATGATCGCACGAGCGTCATAAATATGAATCAGTTGCAAGCATCCGAATGTGAATCTCGTGACTGTGGGAATGTCATAGGTGTGAAAAATGGTTCTAAGTCAGTGCCGTTCTAACTTCCAACAGTCAGTAAATGAACCGTTGTAAGTCAAGCACTATCTGTAAATGGTCAACTATGACTGGCTAATGGTTCCTGTTTTTAGCTAGCTCATCTTTAACGGGAGAAACCAGGAAGCTCCTGTTCCCCCTCCTGGTGCCAAGACACAAGGCCTTTCCCCAGAGAAATGAAGGCGTCTCTTCCACTGATCCTGACATCGATCCCTCTTTGATCCCCCTGACACTGACCCAGAATCTCTTTGGGATGCTCTGCGGTCAAAATATCATCCAGCATAAAACCTCAGCGGCTGTTTTTTACCTCTAAATTTTTTCATGGCACTTTTCAGAAGCACCGCGAGATCACTGTAATCCCAGATTGTCCACATCGGGTCTACAAGTAAATTCACCGGATACTCATATATTTTCTTCGCTTCGTACCTGGCAAGGCAAAAGAACAATGTTTATTATCCTCCCAATGGAAGAAGCTTTCTAAAACATCAGATGGTGCTTGAGGATCCAGTCTGAGTTGGTCATCGGGACCAGAGGTTTATTCTTCCAAGCTTTTGGATTCGTGCTGGAACTGCCCTCTCTCCACAGTATGTACACTGGGCTGTCCTGCACATTGTATACATGTGATGTCTGGTTGTGTGTGACTTTTAGTTGTTAACAGGGGTGTTGATGGCCAGCCATTAAGTCAGTGATTGTTCTTTCTTTATGTTGCCCTGTCCTCAGCTCCTAAGTACCTGGTAAGCTGGTGATTGACTGACAAGGGCCCTGTTTCCCAGGCTTAAATCATTTATCTGCTTAGCTATTGTTTTAATAACGTGTGGAATAAGAACAGGAAGCTGGGGCTGGAAGAAGAATATAAAAGATTAGAACGAGAACTACAGAGAGAACCACAAAAACCAAATCTTAAAAATCAAATGGAATTAGTAAAGCATAAATTAAATATATTCGAGAAAGAGGAATTGGCACACAAAAAAATCAAAGCAGCAAAACAGAATTTTTTTGAAAATACAAATAAGCCAGGAAGATGGCTGGCATTCGGACTTAAAAAAGAGAAAGAAAAGAAGTTGACTGGTACTATTCAATACCAAAATGAAGCCAAGAAAAAATAATAAAGGAATTCTATGAAAAATTATATAGCAAGAGAAAATATCAGAAGTTAAAATGGAATATTATAAGATGCATAATGAAAAGCAAATGGCACTGATTTTCCTTGGCGCACAGAAGGCATTTGACAATGTGAACTGGCAATTTATGCTTTTACAATTAAAGTATATGGACTTTGGAGATAAATTTATTAACACGATTAAGGCAATATATCATAAACAAACAGCAAAGGTGATTATAAATGGGGACTTGACAGAGAACTTTAATATAACTGAGGGTACAAGGCAAGGATGTCCCCTACCTCCACTGTTATTTATTTTAACTTTAGAGGTGTTAAACAGAAATATTAGGCAAGACAGTGGAATAAAAGGCATGAAAATAAAGGAGTACAAACTACAGGCATTTGCTGATGATTTGGTGTTTATTTTAGAAGAAACACAAGAAAACAGGACCTAAACTAATTGAGAAAATAGAAAAATACGGTGCAGTGGCAGGATTGAAAGTAAACAAAGAGAAAACTAAAATATTAGTTAAAAACTTTACAGATAAATAGAAAAGAGAATTTGCCAAGATGATGGGTTTGCAGATTGCAAAGAAAGTTAAATATCTAGGACTTTAATTAACAGCAAGATGTGTAACTATCAAAGAAGATAACGGTGATAAATTGAAAGCGCAAATTAAAGTAGATTTGGAAAATTGGAAAAACCTACAACTGTCCTTGCTGGGTAGAATAGCTACAATTAAGATGAATATTTTGCCAAGATTATTGTACCTGTTTCAGACAATTCCAATAAGACTAGGGAAAAAATACTTTGAAGAATTAAATAAAATGATATTGAAATTTATACGGCAAGGCAAAAAAGCGAGAATAAACGTAAAAATATTATAAGATGGTATGGGAATAGTGATATACATAGCTACTTTCAAAGACATTATATTAGGAATGCATTACTGCTAGTATGGAAAAAATTAAAGAACAAACGTATTTGAAAATACCAGTCTGGTTGTAAAGGTTGTAAAGTTGATTGCTACAGCAATGCTTAGCGAAAGGGGTACCAGTCCCCATTATTGTCTTAAGTTGAAGATTACCTGTACTAGTTGCAAGGGAAGCTGAATACAAACTGAAGATGAAGATGAATCAGAAGTGTAATCTGCTACAAAAAGTTGCAGGAACAGAGGCAAAGTTTCCAAATCAGGGTTTGTGCTACTTACGCTTTGTTCTGGGCTGAAGGGTTGAGTTTTGTGTACCACATATTAAAAAGTATTGTAGGAGGGGCTGAAAAGAGAAGAGCAACAAGCTGACTAGAAGCAGCTCTTTGAAGAGGTATTAAAAGTAAATGTTTAGCCTTGACAAGAGAAAATTCAGAAGGGACGTTAACAAAGTCATTACCAAAAGCCAACATGGGTTTGTCAAAAGGACAAATCATTGCATTCTTTGACCAGGTGACAAAATCAGTGGACCAGAGGAATGCTGTGGATATAATTTACTTGGACTTCAGTAAGGCATTTGATAAAGTACATCACAACCTACTACTTGATAAGATAGAAAAATGTGGGTTAGACAGCATCACCACC